GGCACATGCTCACCGGGGGAGAAAAAGGGAGGAGGGCACCGCTGCAAATCTGTGCTCGCCAAGGAAGAAGAAAGGAAGAGGGGATAAGGCGCATGGGAAGGGGGAGGATTGATGACATGGCAGAACGAGGAACACTACATCAAGCGGGATTGCACGACGCTCGCAAAACCGGCCGAAACTTCAGCCGGTCTGCCATACCGAAACTTCTCCTAAAAATATAGGTGCTCTGAAACATTTCCTAAAAATATAGGGGCGACTGCATCAAACTTTTCAGGGCTTCAAAGAAATGCTATAATTAAAGATGCTCTGAAGCTCGAGCTTGACTCTGGCTCTCCAATGGTTTTTTTCGGTTCGTTTGATCAATGTCCAGTATTTTGTATGAATTCACCGTTTGAGAAAAGAAAAAAAGGCATCTAACATTTTTTTTTTGAGAAACTTCTAACTGAACAGAGAGTGACAGGAACTAGCAAGAGCACACACCACGAACTCTCCGGCCATTCCCGCCGCATCCGCCGCCGCTGATCCTCCCTCCCTCCGCATCCACTGCTCCTCCCCATCCTGAATCTCTCCCGAGCCCGGTCTCCACCACCCGTCCTCCTTCACCTCTCCGTTGTTCCGCCTCCGCCTCCGCCGATCCTTCACGACGCCGATGTCCAACCTCCGCCTCCTCCGCCGCAGCTCCTCCTCCACCTCCACCCCCACCTCGTGGTCCTCGCGTTCATGGTCTCCCCACGCAGCCTTTGCCGCGGCCACAGAGCGTGTCCGCGCCGGGACGCTGAACCAAGACGACGCACACCACCTGTTTGACGAATTGCTGCGGCAGGCCAACCCGGTCCCCGGGCGCTCCCTGAACGGCTTCCTCGCCGCCCTCGCACGTGCTACGTCCTCTGCCGCCTGCATCAGAGATGGTCCCACCCTCGCCATCGCCCTCTTCAACCGCCTGTGCCGAGAACAAGCCGGCCTGCGGGTAGCGCCTCTCACGATCCACACCTACGGCATCCTCATGGACTGCTGCTGTCGTGCAAGTCGCCCGGAGCTAGGGCTTGCCTTATTCGGCCGCTTTCTCAGGACGGGCCTCAAGACAAACGAGATCGTCGCCAGCACCTTCCTCAAGTGCCTCTGCTACGCAAAACGGACGGATGAGGCTGTGAATGTGCTGCTTCATAGGATGTCCGAGCTCGGCTGTGTGCCTAATGCCATCTCATACTCCATTGTTCTGAAGAGCTTATGCGACAATAGCATGAGTCTGCGGGCGCTCGACCTGCTCCAGATGATGGCGAAAGAAGGAGGTGCCTGCTCCCCCAACGTGGTGGCATATAGCACGGTCATCCATGGCTTCTTTAAGGAAAGCGAAACAGGCAAGGCATGCAATCTGTTCCATGAAATGATGCAGCAAGGTGTTGAACCCAGTGTGTGGACATATAGTTCAATCATTGATGCATTGTGCAAGGCCAGAGCAATGGACAAGGCAGAGCTAGTGCTTCAGCAGATGGTTAACAAAGGTGTTCAACCCAATAATGTCACATATAATTGCATGATCCATGGATATTCCACATCTGGGCAGTGGAAAGAGGCTGCTAAATTGCTCAGAGAAATGAAAAGCCGGGGCCTTATACCAGATATTGTCACTTGCAACTCGTTCCTGGCCTCCCTTTGCAAGCATGGGAGAAGCAAGGAAGCTGCAGAATTTCTTGATTCCATGACTGCCAAGGGCCACAAACCAGATATCGTATCATACCGTATTTTGCTTCATGGGTATGGTACTGAAGGATGCTTCGCTGATATGATTGATGTCTTTTATTCAATGGAAAGCAACGGTATTGCAGCTGACTGCCATGTTTTCAACATATTAATTAATGGATATGCAAAACGTGGAATGACAGAAGAAGCTATGCTGATATTTACTGAAATGCAGGGACAGGGAGTGAGTCCAGATGTAGTCACCTATTCCATTGTAATAGCCGCACTTTCCAGAATGGGTAGGCTGACCGATGCTATCGAGAAATTCAATGAGATGACTGCCTTGGAAGTACAGCCGGACACAACTGTTTATCACTCACTGATTCAGGGTTGTTGCATAGACGGTTATTTGGTTAAAGCTAAGGAGCTGATGTTTGAAATGATGAACGGTGGTATTCCTCGGCCTAACATTGTGTTCTTCAGTTCAGTAATAAACAGTCTGTGCAAAGAAGGAAGGGTTATGGATGCACATGATGTCTTAGACTTGGTTATAGGCATAGGTGAGAGGCCTAATGTCATTACATTTAATTCACTGATTGACGGATATTGCTTAGTCGGCAACATGGATAAAGCATTCAAAATACTTGATGTCATGGAATCAGTTGGTGTTGAGCCTAATGTTGTTACTTATAGTGCACTTCTTGATGGCTATTCTAAAAACAGAAGGATTGATGATGCTTTGACTTTGTTTAGAGAAATGCCGCGTAAGAGAATTAAACCTGACACTGTTACATATGGCATCATGTTGGATGGGTTGTTTCGTGCTGGGAGAACTGTCGCTGCAATGGAAATGTTCCATGAGATGACTGAGAGTGGAACAACAGTGGACATTTTCATATACAATATAATACTTGGAGGTCTTTGTAGAAATAATTGTGTAGATGAAGCGATTGCACTGTTCCAGAAATTGCGAGCAATGAATGTGAAGTTCAATATTGAAATACTCAATACCATGATTAATGCAATGTACAAGGTTCAAAGAAAGGAAGAAGCAAAGGAATTGTTTGCTACAATATCAGCCAATGGGTTGGTGCCCAATGAATCTACTTATGCAGTAATGATAAGAAATCTTCTAAAAGGCGGAGCAGTGGAAGATGCTGACAATATGTTTTCATCAATGGACAACAGTGGCATCGTTCCCAGTTCCCATCTTATAAATGATATCATCAGAATGTTGTTGAAAAAAGGTGAGATAGCCAAGGCTGGCAATTATTTGTCTAAAGTTGACGGGAAGAGTATCTCACTTGAAGCTTCAACTACCTCATTGTTGTTGTCTCGGAAAGGGAAACATCAGGTGGATATTAAGTTGCTCCCTGCAAAGTATCAATTTTTTGATGGATTTGGTTGACTAGTTGATATGCTGCATATGAGACTAACTCCTCAGAAAGCAGTTATGTTATTGCTTGCGAAAGCTCTCCTGCCAGAACAACTGTATAAGAAATCCGAACTTCCTACTTGTATGGTTGAGTTCATTTTGCAGTGTGTCCAGATCACATGAAAGTGACATGTCTATGAATCTTTTAATCTTGGATGGGCGAGGAAAGGTAGGCAATTAGTCTAACGCGACTGGTTACAATTTTAGTGGTAATTACTTCTGATGGTGATTGGGAAAATATAGAAGCCTCTTTGATTTAAAGGATTTTTTTGCATATGAATTCTTTGTTTGATTTGTTGCGTTTTATCTTATGGATTTTTGCACAGCATATTCAAAGAAATTTTCTATGGAATATTAGGCGTAATTATGCATTTATGCTTCGTCTCCTTGGCCACCGAAGTAAGACTCTGTCTGTTTAGCAGAACATACAATGTCTGTAGCTCTTGCGCTGTCCTGGAAATGAACTTAAGGAATTCAAGTTGAATTCAAGTGCACTTTGTTTCCCTCTATATTCATGGATAGCCATCTTCTTGACGTGCGACTTGATGCATTCAACAGTAGGGACCTCCTGCCAGAACTTGGAGGAATAGGAGAAATGCTAGTACGTTTTTTGGTTGATCAGCCATGCTTCTGTAGTATGAGTATCCTTTTCTTTGTTGTTGATGCATGTATGTCCAGCTAAAGGGAATAGATAGGCAAAAAACAGTATGTAACTGCGTCAGATAAGATGACAATTGCCTAGCAAGTCCATTTTTTTTTCTGTTGTCAAATGAGCCCTTCAGCTGTATGAGATGTGGATTAGTGAAGATGCTATTTTCGCTCAAGTAACGAGGAACCCCAATCGGTAGCTGTATGTTTTTCTTTTCTTTTTGAGATATTGGTTGTATCTTGAAATCTTTCATTTAAATGATTTTCATAGGAACTATTTCCATGCTGGTTGTTTGATTTGTTGAATTGTATCTTACAAAATTTTAAACTAAATTTAAAGAAATTGTCTGTGGAAAACAATAAATATGTTTCTTCCATATCGTGCAATCAAGTAATTTTTATACAAAAATAATCATGTATGATTCTGGTCGATATGACAATACAGTCATATATCTTTATATTTAGATGTCTGATTCTGTGAATTAAAGAGATCCTTAGATCAACTCTAGCATGTCTCTAAACACTACCTCCAAACAAATTTTTAGGGTATAGGAGAAAGATACATTTCCAACAGGGATCCCCTACTACAACCCCCTCACCCATCTCCCCCGGTACTCTAGCTTAGCTGCTACCACCTCGTCATCCACCTCCAGCATTCAAAAAGTCGCCATGATGAAATGATGCAATGATTTATTTACTTACTTGAGTTACAGAATTTAATGGCATGAATCGCATGATGACATGATGAAATGATGAGTTGCAAAATAATGGCATGATGAAATGATGCAATGCAAAAAGAAAATAGAGCAAACAATATAATAATAATAATAATAATAATAATAATAATAATAATAATAATAATAATAATAATAATAATAATAATAATAATAACGGAAAGAATCGGTCTCGGACTGTCACACGCTACCACCTCGTCATGCACCTCCAACATCCCCCAAGCGCCCTTCGGCCTCTATGTGCACCTCCGTGACGTCATCCACGTCTGACCTACTGACCCAACTTCCCGATGTGGAGCTTTGCTCCACCCACCTTCATGTTCCCGAAGCGAGGTGGCCTTCTTTGTATTCCGGTGTCATCCGTCCTCCCCACGCAACCCAGTGATATTCGACAATAATCTAGGAGGGTGGCAGCACGGGGAAGTAAACATTGACTGTGTGATCAAAGAAGATGAAGGGAAAAAGAAGAAAATTTGACGGTGTTGACCGGGGTGAAAATCCGCTCTCACTTGTCAGGCCGGCGACGACGGCGTGTTGGTGTTGTCACCTTCTTGAAGGTGCCACCGTGGTACTCATTGGTCGTCATGTTGCTCCAGGGGAAACCCTGATCCTCAGATTGGCCGGTGGTGGCGCTTCGGTGTCATTCCCTTCTTGAAGGCATCGTCTAGGAGTCCATCGTTCGTCATTCACGGCTTTGTCTCATTGCGGGGGCGAGTCCATGGGTGAGTGCCCCGGCTGCTCTGTAGTGTTGTTGCTTAGAGCTGTTTGGGGTGTTGTTGTTGTTTCAACGTCTATGTATCCAGCCTTGAGTGTGTGTGGTGGCGTGAGTTTATATCGGCTTGTTGTTGATGGTGGTTGTTTCATACATAAACACTAGTAGAAAACAGGGCTTTGGTCCAGGCCGGGTCAGCCCATTAGTCCCGGTTCAGTCCAGAACCGGGACCAATGGGAGCATTGGTCCCGGTTCGTGAGCCCAGGGGGCCGGCCGGGCCACGTGGGCCATTGGTTCTGGTTCATCTGGACCTTTTGGTCCCGGTTGGTGGGATGAACCGGGACCAATGGGCCTCGCTCCTGGCCCACAATCATTGGTCCCGGTTCGTGCCTCAAACCGGGACTAAAGATTAGACCTTTAGTC